CACAAGAGCATGAAAGACACCAAATCGCCGAAAACACATTGGTCAGTTCTCCATATAATGGTCCTTTTTGGGCACCCTAAGTAGAGGGGCCGCCTATTATAATCAGAACCCCAAAAGGGACCAGTATTTTAGAGAAGTGACCAGATCTTCGTGAACCCCCAACCACATCTCCTGCCGCAGACGCCCCGATCATCATCATCATCATCATCATCATCATCATCATCATCATCATCATCATCATCCTGAAATGTGTTGCGAATGGCGCCTGTGCACAATGACGGCAAAACCAGCTACGCGAAGCCTCTGTTGTGAATGTGCAGTGCGGCCGCCTATCGTCGGCCGGCGAGCGGCGCCGGTTCTCTCGATCTTCGGCCAAGAAAGGTGAAGTGACACGACCGTTTTGCACGCGCTAAATTGTGGACACCCTCTGAACCATCGTAGATGATGAGGTGGTGTGCGGGCTGGGAGCGGGATCGGTACATTGGGGGTAACTCGGGTCTTGAGCCCTGCAATGTTGACAAGCGTTGCATGACAAAGGCTTCATTGAGCACCGCCAGGAACCGTGCCCCGAGAAAGGGACCTTTACGTCCAGCTTAACTGTTGAAACTGCTGGAGGTCCTGTGGAATCGAAGGTGATTGCATCACCAGCAGCAACTATCCGAGCGACTACCCCAACAACGATAGTTGTACCTTCGAGGTGGCCTCATGGAATGTATGGCAGTTGGACGTGGTCTCGTTTTCCACGCAGCTGGGAAGTGACGTATTCATTGTCAACGGGGTCAGCTACGCTGGTGCTGAAGGGCCAGAAGGAGTTCTCCCACAAGGGCGCATCACGTGGAATGCGGATGCTCAGCTGCATACGTTGCTCTGAACTATGTGTTGCCCTGTGCCTTCACCACCCCCTGAACCCCAGTTTCCGATGTGATCCAACATGTGGGCTTGACGGTTTGCCCCAACTCCCGACCGCACAACCACATGCAAGTGAGAAGTGGATTGTTGTCGAGATCTCGTCAGCAGGATGGAAGTACTACAGACGCTGGCTGGAAAGTTTGTCTTCGAGAGGTGCGTGGGGCATACGGGTCTAAACTGGAACCCGGGCCCTTGGATTGCTCTTCACCCCAAGGAAGGTTCATTTGGGCATCGCGAGATTGAGTTCGCGTCAAGCAGCCCCCCCCTGTCACCCTATAGTTGAATCGTCATCGTTGTCGCCATCATCACCATCATCACCATCATCACCATCATCACCATCATCACCATCATCACCATCATCACCATCATCACCGTCATCACCGTCATCACCATCATCACCATCATCACCTTCATCACCATCATCACCATCATCACCATCATCACCATCATCATCATCACCATCATCACCATCATCACCATCATCAGCATCATCAGCATCATCACCATCATCACCATCATCACCATCATCACCATCATCACCATCATCACTATCATCACTATCATCATCATCATCGTCATCATCATCATCATCACCATCGTCATCACCATCCCTGTCATTCTGGTTGCTATCTGGCTGTCCTTCGGGTACAGAATCTCCTCGTAGCCTCCAGGTTGTTCTCATGGCCAGTCGCATGGAAGAGTTGAAGACATTGATGATCTGAGTTTGTTTTCACCAGGTGGAAAGCAGTCAATTGTAAAGCGAAACCTTCAGTTTGAGAAGCTGTCAACTATCAAAGCGCTTGCGTGGCAGGCACCTTGGACGGTGCTGCAGGGGCCCAGACCCCAGACCAGACAGCTGGAGTCCGTGTTGACTGTGGAAATGGGAGACCCCACTGTTGGAACCCCCCCCCGCCCCCCGCCCCTGGGACCCCTAAACCTAGACAACTGCTCCTCCAGCAGTCTTTCCAGTCTTTGCCAGTTCCTGGGCAGTGGCCTCCCTCGTGGCCCAAAACACGCAAGTTCTTAAGCGCGGGAATTCGTCCAAGCGGCGCTACGTCGCTACTACGCACGTAGAGTCCGGAGAGAGAGAGAATATGTCATCAACAATGCCACAAAGCCCAACTGTTCCCCTGCTCCAGCCCCTGAATCGGTTTCCAAGGTCTTGCACGGCAAGCGAGGATTGCATCAGCAGCAGCGATTACCCAGCCAACTACCCCGATGACGATCACTGCATCATCCAGGTCTCACATAATCCAAGACGTTTCATGGCCATCAGCGTGGTTTCCTTCTCCACAGAGTGGGATTGGGATTTTCTCGTTATTAACGGGATCCGGTACTCTGGTGTGGAAGGACCCCACAAAATCATACCACGAGGGACGATTACCTGGACTTCAGATGCGCAGCTGCATTCGTTTGCAGAACTTGACGTTCGGAAATATTCTCCAGGAGCAATCTTCATACGGTTCCTTTTTAATATTGGTGTGCGTATATACTGGGTGTCCATTTGGGGACACAATGAACGCAGTAAAAAATCTTCATGCTCCAAAGCTGAATTTGTTTCAGCCCCAATGAAAACGACGGAAAGTTGCATCGCATTATGTTAGGACGATGTATGCAACAAACGCTGATATACATCCCATATGCGCACAGGCCGAGGAAGCAGGTAGGACTTCCCAACCCTTGGCGTCCCAACCCGCGGGGAATCCCGCACAGAATCCTGGCGAGAATCCGCGAGTGCCACACCCCGCAAAGAGTCTCGCAGAGAATCCCGCCCAGTGTCTCTGGAGTGCCACCGAAAGTTTGGAGTGCCCATCCCGCAGTGAATGCCGCAGAGGTGCCGTCTCCGGTTCTTTTGTTTGGGAAGGCCATCGACGTACGTACGCCTCTGCTGGCCTGGATGAACCCCACTTCTCTTCGGAGAATTCTGCGGCGAAGTACCCCTGATTGCCTGAGTATCCTACGAACAGGGAGTATCCATCCCCAGACAATTCTTCAGAGTATCCCATGTGGAGCGCCTGTCTCCTACTAGTACTGTACCCTCTAAGCACTGCATCCCCGCGGTGCCCAGAGATTCCCGCGTCAAGACAGCCCGTATTTCATTACAGGGACAATTCAAATACTTATTTTTGTCGCATGTTTGGCGCGCAAGCTTCAACGTATGCCGATGAAGACGCTTGGTCTCATCCATTGCTCGTGCTCATGTGCCACCATGGTTGGCACGTACGGCAAATTCAGCTCCAGCATTATCCTCCCGTCCATGCGCCCCTTTCACCACACATTGCTGCTATCACCCTGGACCATGCCTCTTTTCCCTGTGCTCCATTCGGCACTCTCGCGTTGTGTCGACGTGATCCTCCACCAAATGGCGAAGACCTTGGTCGAAAACTTTCAGTCAGCCCGCCGTGCTAATGCTGCAGCTCCTATTCCAACGCCTCTATCGAGCATGTCCGCGTTCTTATAATTGCGCGAAGGCCCCAGCGCCCACTTGGGAAGGACAGCTTGCAATTGGGAACCCGTATGACGACCGGATTCAGCATGGTCTGTGCCGTGCATGCAGAGCTTGTCGGAGGGCGCGGCCTCCTGAGAGAAACCACCCCTCCATGACAGCTTTTGTGGCTGACAGCCCCAGGAACATATAGGAACATCATGGAATCCCATCCCACCGGCTTCACCCATCTCTCTGATGAGGGGTGGACTTGCGCCACCCTGTCTCCGCATTCAGAAAAGCACCAAGGTCCCCAGCCCCTCTTGGCGCTGATGACCCAAAAGTAAAGTAGTCGTAATCGTACCATGCAGTCATACAAGACCAATCGCATTTGGAACAGCAGCAGCATCAGCAAGATAATGCTGTAGAAGCAGCACAGTAAAGCACATCGTACAGTATGCCACAGTATGATATAAAGTGTAGGGGGGGTGGTGCAAAAGCAGGCGTGGGGTCTGCTTTTTGGCCTCCGTCCCCCCTCCGCCTCGGCACGCGCTCCATGGGAGTCCCTCGCTGTAGGCTACTAAGGGATAAGGCTCTGGACAAATCGGAAGTGCTGGGTTCGAGTCCCACCTGCTACCCTGCGTTTCTTTTGGTCTGCTTCTGCTTCTGCTTCTTCTTCTTCTTCTTCTTCCTCTGCTCTTCTTCTGCTCTTCTTCTGCTCTTTATCTCGTCTTCTCTGCTCTTTTCTGTGCTCTTCTGCGATCTTGTCTGCTCGTCTGCCATCTGCATTGTCTCCGCTTTTGCGAGTTTTGCCGCCAAGAACCCGAAAAAATGCCTGCAAAAGCTAAGCGCAGTTTGGAGCTGGTATATGTGCTTGCTGCCAAACACCCATCCTTGCCGCAAAAACCAAGAGATGCATTTCAATCGACCAGCACACTGTGGAGCGGTCCCAATCGTTTCCGGATTCTTCGGCGAAAACGAGTCAGGGAATCCAGTTTTTGGACCTCTTCGGGTGGATTCCCCGCCGGTTTTGAGCGCTCAATCGTTTTCCGGGATTCTTCGGCGGAGGACTACAGTTCGCCTTGTCGCGGGTCCAGCTGCGGTTTTGCTTCACGAGGAGGTACCGAGGGTAAGGGCCTGGTGGGGGTACACCACCCTCTTTTTTCCTTTCAGTTTGCAACCTGACCCAAGGACAGGACGCAAACAAGCACTGGCTGGAAGATGTGCCTGGAAGAGGCCAGGCGATTGCTCAGCAGAAAGGGTGTATTAGACTGAGAGGAGAGTTTTGAGTGCTACCATGTGCTAGCAGTAAGCCCTGAACCGCAAACCCAGACTCCACGTTCGTTAATGCCTTGACCGCTCCTGCTAGCCGGAGAAAAACATGCAATCACGTCCAGTGAACGAACCATCCGCGTGCAAATTGCAAAATCATGAACATGCCGAAAAGCTCCCGTAAATAATCGTTAAGATGATCGTTGTGCCCGCCAAACCCTGAGCCATACCCTGAAAGCAGCTCTGTGCCCAGGCGGTGCTGGGATCGGAGAGCATCACTTGCGACTTTGAGCAGGACGCATGTCTGTGGTTCAATGCAGGAAATGCATCCTGGTCACGAAATTCAGGGTGGCTCGAGGCTGCCGGGAGCAGCTCCGATTCCGAAGGCTTTGTCATGGAGAGTGCGGCGTTCAATGCCACCAAGGAGCAGCCGTTCCTCTTCTGGTACCAGTTGGAGGGTTCGAGCTGCGCGCTGGAAGTGCAGTACAAGACCTCAGCGGGCGATTGGCTGAGGATCTTTCGGCGCACCAACAGCACAGATTCCTGGCAACAAGCCATCATCAGGGTCCCTGAAGGTGGCCTTGGCTTGCGATTGTTGGCAAGCACGGCCAGTGCTCAGGACGTCGTGAGGATCGACGGGCTGCTGGCAGCAAACGCGGTGGGCAGCCTGGCAGACGCCGGCTGCAGCTTCGAGACGGACTTTTGCGGGTGGGCTCACAAGGGGAGAAATTTGTGGCGTCGTTGGTCAGGCCCCACTCAATCAGCATCTACTGGGCCATCAGGGGCTGCCGAAGGCAGCTGGTATGTTTACGCGGAGGCCTCCGCGAGCCCGAACAAGGTCGGATATCGGCATCAGATTGGGTATTGTAGTGGTTCAACGAAAGCAAGGCAAACATGTCTGTCCACGGTGTTTTGGCTGTGTTGGGATCAGAGGTTGTCCATGCCCCTTTGTTCAAGTAATGCAGGTCTTCGAGCTTATCAGCCCGGTGCTTCCCGTATCATCTACAACAAGGCACGTGCACTTTTCTTACCACATGTACGGCTCAGATGTGGGCATTCTGTACCTATCTTGTCTTCAGCGGGGCGCATTCAGAGTCTTTTGGGCTCGACGTGGAGCGCAGCCACGAGGCTGGAACACTGTCTTGATCACGCTGCCGGCCGACGTTGAAATGTTGGTGCTCGGAGGGATAACAGATGACCATTTTCGAGGTGACATGGCCATGGACGCCATCGGCTTCGGCATCCCAACTGTGGAGTTTTGGGAGCTCTCTTGCAGCTTCGACTTCAATCGGCTCTTTTCGGAGTGCCTGTGGTTTGATCCAGGCAACTCTACCTGGCAGCAGAGCGGTGGCCTAGTCGATGAGAGCACACTCCTTGGTGAAAACACAGGCAACCGCTGGCTCGAGGCTGCCGGGAGCAGCTCCGATTCCGAAGGCTTTGTCATGGAGAGTGCGGCGTTCAATGCCACCAAGGAGCAGCCGTTCCTCTTCTGGTACCAGTTGGAGGGTTCGAGCTGCGCGCTGGAAGTGCAGTACAAGACCTCAGCGGGCGATTGGCTGAGGATCTTTCGGCGCACCAACAGCACAGATTCCTGGCAACAAGCCATCATCGGGGTCCCTGAAGGTGGCCTTGGCTTGCGATTGTTGGCAAGCACGGCCAATGCTGAGGACGTCGTGAGGATCGACGGGCTGCTGGCAGCAAACGCGGTGGGCAGCCTGGCAGACGCCGGCTGCAGCTTCGAGACGGACTTTTGCGGATGGGTTGGCAACTGGCAGCGGTCTGATCAGTCGGCCTTCCGGGGCGATTGGTCCGTGCAAGTGTTGCCTAAGTTTGCCGTGGACAAGGCGCGGGCTATGCCGCTATATGCCATGCAAGTACTATAGGACACAGAGAATCTTTCTTTAAAGCACAGACCGCTTGCAGGAGGCTACAATCACAAGCCCGGCTTTCCCCTCGACCACTAGCGTTTGGTACGTGGAGTTTGCATATCGTATGCTGGGAAGCGGGATCGATGGCCTACAGCTGCAGTATCTGCGTAGAGGAGCCTGGTGGAAGCGCTGGTCTCGAGAGACCTCGCAGGGTGACGTGTGGCTCCAGGCCAAGGTCACTTTGCCAGTTGGCACCGAGATGTTGCGCTTTGCATGTGTTGGTCTCGATGGCATGCTTAGTGATTCTGTGGTTGTGGATCACGTGCACGTTTGGCAACCATCGACCGCATCCGCACCATTCCTCTCATCGTTGGCCGCTGGTTCAGTGCACAACTGCGCCGTGCTTGCCTCGGCAAGACAAGTCAAATGCTGGGGGGCAGGTTTTGCTGGTGTACTTGGCTATGGCAGCGAAGCACACGTTGGCAGTAACCCGGGCCAGATGGGCGTTTTCCTTCCCCCCGTGGACCTTGGAGCCGCAGCTGTGCAGGTCGCTTGTGGAGTAGGTCACAGCTGCGCCGTGCTTGAGGGTGGAGGGCTGAAGTGCTGGGGCCAAAATTTGGACGGACAGCTGGGCTCCAGCCTGCCAGTTCTCATCACTGCAGGTGCCACTGCTGGCTATGCGGCGGACACGGCGGTGATCGGAGATCAGGAGAACGAGATGGGTGCCAATCTCCCGCCCGTTGACTTGGGCACAAATGCGACGGTCGAGCAGGTTGTCTGCGGTTCCTGGCACACCTGCGCCTTGCTTCATGGCGGTGTGGTCAAGTGCTTCGGCTGGGGCCCTGCCCTAGGCTTGGGTGATTGGCGGGGGCCTCAGGGAGCCGAAGCTTTGTCTGACGCTGCTGTGCGGGTGCATGGTTTGCGGCTAACTAGCTGCGTTGTTTGCAGTTGAAACATGGAAGATCCTGGGGTCCTGGAAGCTTAGGATGAACCGTGGTGAGAGCGAGGGCAGGAAGATGGGAGACGAGCTTCCAACAGTGGATCTGGGGACGGGATTTGTTGCTGTCCAACTTGCTGCTGGCAATACTCACACCTGCGCCTTGTCCCATGCAGGCGCCGTGAAGTGTTGGGGCTTTGGCCAGGGCGTTGGGTTGGGATTAGCAGCTTACGGCCTGGGCATTGGCGAGGGATTCGCCGTCGGCGATCAGCCTGGCCAGATGGGCGACTTCTTGCCGCCCTTGGACTTGGGTGTGGATGCAGTCCAGATCTCTGCAGGAATGGATAGAAGTGCGGCGGCCGCCTGCCTGAGCTTCCTAATCATACTGTAGCCGACAAACCTCGTGTCTACATGCTTGGCAGGCAGGATTGTTTGATTGTTGGCACTCTGAAGCAGCATGCCCATCATCGCGTGCAAAGCCCTGAAACCACTCAAGGCCCTGCCGAAGTACAGTTGGAAGTCTTTTGCTGGAGGCTTTCCGTTCCCTGCGCTCAGGTTCTGGCGGATGGCTCCATCAAAGAGTGGGGACCGATGGGCCAGCCAGGCCCAGGCCTTCTTGCCGTTGACCTGGGCACCGGCATGATCGCCCTCCGTGTCGCCAGTGGTTGGTATCACACCTGCTGCATTCTCCAGGACGAATCCCTGAAATGCTGGGGTAGGGGATCAGATGGGCAGCCAGGGCCTGAGCTAGAAGTCGAAGTTAGTCGAAGGCTAATCGTTGTTGCAAAGCTTCTTGGGCCCAGCATACTTCCAAGAGCCATGAATCCCTGTCGCACCGTTTTCGGTTTGGCGCGGGATGCCGAGGCTTGGGTATGGCGACACCAGTGATCTTCCCGAACCTCCCCGCAACCCGATCGACCTGGATAATCGCCAAGTTCTGCAAGTGACGGCAGGCTCTGGTCACACATGTGCTCTCTTGAATGATGACAGCATCAGATGCTGGGGCGGTAACAGCAATGGGGAGCTTGGAATCGGCAGCAGCGTCAGTGTGAGCGTGAATGAGGGACAGATGGGTTCGGCCCTGGTCGCAGCGGACGTATTCGTGGTGACTCCGGGTGCTGGCCTTGAAGGCGTCCGTCTGGAGGGCATGGAGGGTGATCAGCTAGGCCAATTACAAGGACAAGTGCATCTCCAGTACAATGGCTCCTTTGGCCAGGTTTGTGATGACCAGTGGAACGATGCAGCAGCGCAAGTCACTTGCCGGGACCTGGGTATGGCTGGCGGCCGCGCTGTGGTTCTGGGTGTCACAGGCGCTGCTGACATTGTGGCCGACAACGTCGTGTGCCAGGGAACGGAAGTGAGCCTTCGGGATTGCCGTTTTCGGGGATGGAAGCTGCATGACTGCTCGCCACAGGAAGCAGCAGGTGGGGTGCAATTCGGGTCTCCGTGCTGATACTGAGTAGTGTGTCTTGCTACGTCTTGCCACTTTGCATGTTTTTTGGCGCAGGCGTGCAGTGCCAGACCGATGCTTGGAGCGACTTCTCCACCGTCGGCCCAGCTGGGCGCCAGGACCACACAATGGTTTGGGACCCGGAGAGCCAGTCGGCACTGCTCTTCGCGGGCCACGCCAGTGGTGCTTTCCTCTTCTTCAGCGACCTCTGGCGGTACAGCTGGTTATCGCGCGACTGGGCCGAGATCAATGCCCTGGGAGGCCCCAGCTCCAGGTCAGGCCACACAGCCGTTTGGGATGCAGCATCGCACTCCATGCTGGTCTTCGGGGGCCAGCACAATGGCTTCTACGGCGACCTGTGGCAGTTCCGAGCGCAGCTCATGTCTTGGGAGCTCTTGACCCAAGCACGGATGGCACGGGCCTACCATTCCGCTGCATGGGACCAGGCCGGGAGGGCCATGTACGTTTTTGGTGGTGAAAATATCGGTGTGCTCGCCGATCTGGATCGCTACAGCCTAGCTGAGAACGTGTGGTGGACGTCCACAGCATCGGGTCCAGGAGCAAGGAGCAGACACACTGCCATCTGGGACTCCGTCACCAGGCTGGCCATTTGCAGTGAGACACTCATATGGCAACGTGTTTTGTTTCTTTTGTTGCGATACCTCTCTGCGATCTCCTGTGCGTAGAAACCAGCGGCCTCTTCAGAGACGTGAGAGACGTAGCCCTCCGTGACTCCGCATTTTGACTCTCACGGCTCTCGCGTTTCATTCTCGAAGCCGCCTCGACAGGTCTATGCTGATCCTTGCCGGCTGGGATGGCCAGCAGTACATGTCGGGGCTCCACCGCTACGACTCCTGGGCAGACAACTGGGAAGAGCTCTCGGCAGCCTCGGCAGCCGGCCCATGGCCTCGAGCTGGGCATGGTGCGGCCTGGGACTTTGCGTCGCGGTCCATGTTCATCTTTGGAGGTATCATGAATGCATCAGTGGCAACCGGTGGAAAGCTGAGCTACGACCAGGGCCTCTACAAGTTCAGCGATTTGACAGGCACGTGGACTGAGCTGGAAACTGGAGCCGGCCTGGCCGAACCTTCGGCTCGCACAGGCCATGCTCAGATTTGGGATGCACGGTCCCGAGGTCTTCTTGTCTTTGGCGGCTTCAATGCGTCCTATCTAGACCAGACATGGCGTTATGTCGTCGGCCAGGCTTCCCCGCCTTTGGTTTTGACGTGCCAGCTGGGCCGAGCCTGTCTATTGGACTTGGGTGGTCTCTCTGGCCCAATCCGCGTGAAGCATACATGCTCTCATTCCAGCACCTTAGCCGGCTTGGATCCTGAGCAGTTGGACGACGGCCGTTGGGCCATAGGGGCAAATTCAAGCATGCCTCTGATAGCCGAGCCGGGAGATCACCGCATCTGCACTTGTGCTGAAGGTGACGGCTACAGCAGCTGCAGTCAACCAGCTGATTTTGCAGTAGCCTTGGGTCATCTCATCATCGAAGGCCCATACCCAAACCAGTCAGCCCTGTGCTACCTGGGCTTGGATTGCACCATCTCTGGCTGGAAGGGTGTCGGCATCTCTTCAAATGACAGCATAGTCGTGCAGAGAGAGTGTCAGACACTGCAAGCATCAGAAACCCAAAGTCATGGACTTGTCCCTGTTCGGTTCAATGACTCCACGCACTCCTTCGTTCTGGACTTGGGTTACATTGATCCGTCCGGTGGACTCCGGACTCTGGAGCTTTGCTGGTGCCCGGCAAACTTGCCGTGTGCTTCCATGATGGAATTCCGTATTTCGGCCCTCCAACTGCATCTCGAGTGTCCTCCTGGCCAGCATGAAATTGGTGCTGCCGTTGGTGCTGCCTGCCAGCAGTGCCCAACAGACCACTATTGTCCAGGAGGTCAGGAGTTGCGGAGCTGCCCTTATGGGAGCATGTCCCCGCTGGGATCTAGCCAGAGCCTGAGACCGTGAACGCGCTTGATTGTTCCTGAGGTTGCTTTCTTCGTGACGAATCACGACATGCGTCGTAGGCTATTGCGCATACAGATGCTTCCAGCATCTTAATCAGGAATCTGCTGCGAGCTTGAGCCCAGGTCAGCTGTCACATTGCAAATGCTCCACCGGGCGTTACTGGAGTCCCGAAGCTGGGGCTTGCCTGACGTGCCCTGCAGGCTCCACCACCGAGGCAGGTCGCTTGGGGCTTTACCGCATACTATGCATACTATGCATACTGTAGCCTTTGCATGTGTTAAAGATGTGATGAAGTTAAAGGCAACTTCCACACAGTGCACTGTGCTGGTACTGGCATGTCATTCGTGATTGAGACATGTTGAGAATCTGCCATCTGCAGCCCGGGAGGAGGGAGCGACGGCGCTGGACTCCTGCTTCTGCATGGGCGGCTTTTGGAATACGCAGCCCGGCAGCCCTTCCATCTGCGAGGCTTGCGGCGCCGGCTTCTTCTGCACGGGTGGCCTTCACAGGGAGCCGTGTGCTGCATTTCAGACCACGGCAACAGAGACAGCCAGCAGCCGCTCCCAGTGCCTCTGCGCCCCCGGTGCCTTCCTGCTGGGTGGTGCTTGTGAAGTTTGCCCTGCTGGGCGCTTCAAGAGCGGCACCGGAAACTTGCCGTGCGAGGAGTGCGTGGTCGGCACGTGGAGCAACGACACCGGGGCAGTCGAGAATGTTTGCGCCCCCTGCATGGTTGGGTCGACCACGGAGGCGGCAGGAGCCCGAGACCTCGACAGCTGCGTACGTCCAGACGTGGGCCATCGGCGCACATGCGTCTCGGGCAGGGTGTGCGAGGTCGATGGGCTTTCGGGCTATGGGCTGCGGGCTGGGCATCGGATGGTGCTGAGCCGTTCGCCCTGCGATGGGTCAAAAACTGCCTTGCCCGGTGTCTCTCAGAATGCCTTCTCGCATCCCAGTACAGATGGTCAGCGATACGTTTGGGGTGACGTGCTGCAGGACTTCACCCCAGAAGGTGGCACGGTGAATTTATGCTGGTGTGCAGGCATGGCTGAGCTTAGCTGCTCAGATATCAACCTCAACTTCTGGCTGACGGCCGGGGAGCTGTCGGTAGTGGGGCCCATTCAAGACAACTACTTCGAGTGCGTTCGTGGTGATGACTGTGATTCCCTGAGATCCTTTCGAGGCCACGGCCTCCTGGCCTCAGATGGCGTCGCGGCTCGCCGCGTGCAGTGCGGAGGAAAGCAGAGTGTGGCCCTGTCTCGATTGCTTGCCGATGGCATCGGCCAGCTCCAAGATTCTGGAGGCGACCTGGCTCTCAGCTTTGGTAAGTCCACTTCGACTGAGGACTTCTGGTTGACCGCAGATGCCAGTGAGGGCTACTTGCTGTGCTGGTGTGGCGTGTCAGGTATGATAGGTGGCCAGGGTGGCCAGGCATGCTCACATCCTGAGGAGTACGCCGTGCCGGCAGGGCAGCTGCGCATCGTAGGTCCCAGAACCAACCAGGAGGACAGCTGCTCGATCGGTCAGTACTGCGCAGTGCATGTTGAGGGCGTTGGGGTGCAGCCGGGGGATCGCCTGATGGTTCTGAACGATTGTGGACACGGCTCATCTGTTGCGGGCTTCCCTGGTGGTGGCATCGCGGAGACAAATGACCCTCGCCTCAAAGAATTCTAAGGGGTTTGTGCTGGAGAGACAGGTTGAAGAAACTCGCAGCTTCATGGTAAGAGCTGAAAAGCTTGACATAGGTTTAACATGGGTTGATCCGACGTGCGAACGGATCCAGGACCCTGAAGCCGTGCAGAGTGGAAGCCACTTGTGCTCCGAGCCGAGGACACGGAGCGCTACGAATTCTTGCTTTCTCCGTTGGAGGACAGCATCCTGCTCGCCACGCCTGGTATCTATCGGATATGCTACTGCAGAGCCGGGAGCCATGGTGACTGCACTTCTGGAATCCACTTTAAGGCCAGGCTTTCTTGCCTTGTCCAGGCGCATAGTAATTGCACTATTCCATGTTGTGCGTCAGCCATAGACGTGTCAAAGAAGCCAAGAACTGTCGTCTGACATCGTCTTTTGACCCTGTGCGCAAGTGTGCGCAGGCCGTGGTGGGGCTGATGACGGTGCAGGGGCCCTTTGCCAGGAGCCACCTCTGCACAATCGGCCGCAGCTGTGCTGTGGCCCTGTCCGGCATTGGGCTGGCCTCGTTGGACCTCCTACTGGTCAGTGCAGGTGACTGTGGGTCAGGCTCGGCGTTTAGCCATCTCGAGGCCGTGCCCCTGCAGCGACGGGAAGGCTCGGGCTCGGATCTCGAAGCCAGCCTTGGGACCTTGCCCAGCGATGCACGCCCGGGCATCTACCAGCTTTGTTGGTGTGCACGAGGCTCCCACTGTGAGCAGTCTGGACGCTTTGGCGCCCCTTCCGGGCTCCTGGTGGCCGCATGCCCGCCCGGAAGCTTCACCAATGAGCACTTGGCTACTTGCAGCCGATGCACACGAGGATACTTCTGTCCAGGCCGCCTAAAAACGTCTGCGTTTGTTGCATGTTTGCCTCGCGAGCACCAAAGTTGTTCGTGTTGTTCTTGCAACAGTAATTGCTCTTGAGCTTGTTGCAGTGTTACATCGTGCTGCGCTGTCTGCAGGTTGAGTGGCAGAGTCCGCAAAGCGCTTTCCCTGCTCCTCGGGCGAGACGACCCTGGCAGTGGGAGCCGTGTCGGCCGGCGAGTGTGTCTGCGACCGAGGCTTTGGAGATGCGCAAGCTTCCCAGGCGTGTGAGGCCTGCAGCGTGGGCTTCTACAAGGCAGACGCCGGTCCAGGGAGCTGCTTCCCATGCCAGGAGAACTTCACGACCCACAGCGCCGGTGCTAGGTCCAACAGCTCCTGCATTCCGGAGACTTCCTTGCAAGTCCAAGGACTGGACGGGGGTTTCTCGAACACCACCAAGGTCCCTACGCTGACCCTGAACGTGTCCGTCCTGAACGTGCCGGATGCAGGTGCGCCAGGCGAGGATGAAGTTCAGGAGTTTCTCCGGCAGGTGCTTCTGATCGCGCTGTCAAATGCAGCCCGGCTTCCTGCTGGTGCTGTGCAAGTCCGGTTCGCACATGTGCGCCTCAACACAGGCTCAGGGAGGCGTTTGTCTTCGGCCGTGTTTGCGGTGGACCTGAGGTACCGCACTGTGGCAGAGGCCGAGCTGGCCAGCAGTGACCTGGACTTGGCCGCCTTGATGTCGGACGTGCAGACATCCCTCCAAGAAGATCCGCGGGGCGATGGCTTGGTGCTTCAGGTGTCAGAGCTGCAGGTGACGTCTGTGGACTTGGAATGCCCGTCGGGCCACTCTGTGCCGCCCGGCATTGTTCCGCTCGGCCCCGCGGAGTGCGAGTGCAGTCCCGGCTATGGCTTTGCAGGGGGCGAGTGTCAGCCATGCCTCCAGGGCGAGTACAAGCCGACAGTGGGCAACGCTTTGTGCACAAGCTGCCCACCCGACAAGACCACGTCGGGAAAGGCAGCCACCTCGGAGCTTGAGTGTGGCTGCCAGCACGGCCTTGCTGCGGATGGACGCGCTTGTGTAGACTGCCAGCCCGGCTTCTTCTGTCCCGGCGGTGGCGAGGCTGTCAGGTGCCCGGAGGGGGCGACTTCGGGTGCAGGAGCCAGTGGACCATCGGACTGCATTTGTCAAAGTGGTCGCTACAGCTCGGGATCCGCTTGTGAGCCTTGCCAGCCCGGGCGCTACAAGCCTGCAGAGGGCAACTCCCAATCATGCCCTTTCCAGTGCCCCACAAGTGCCCAGAGCAAGAACGGGTCTGCCAGTTTTGCTGATTGCTTCTGCGAGCCGGAATTCCATGCTGTCCTTGATTTGGCCGGGTTTCTCGCACGATGTGCGAGCTGTGCAACCTTCACAAACCTGCGCTGCCCCGGTGGCTTCCACGAGCAAACCTCCATGCATCGACTGCCAGTTGCCAGGCCGGGATTCTTCCAAACGGCCGAGCTCACAGCTTTCAAATGTAGCGTCGTCCTGGATGGGGGCCTGAGTGCCTGCCTGGGTAGCGACCTGTGCCAAGGGGGCTCAGGAGACGAGTGCATTGGCAAGTATGGAAACCGTTGCGACGAGAGCGCGACGGGCTGGCTCTGTGGTGAGTGCCTGCCAGGTTGGGCCAGGACCTCTTTCCGAGCTCCCTGCCAGGAATGCGCGCAGCATGTTGCGACGCTTTCCCTCATCACCTCGGTCTTTGCAGATGTGGGTACAAAGGTGGTCTTTAACTTCGTAGTTGCGGCCATGGCAGCCACTTCTTCTGTGAGAGGCAGCAGCAAGCTCCATACCATCATGATTCGTATCGCCACGCAGTGGTTGGCCACTTGCTCCGTGCTGGGGAGCTTTGAGTTGGACCAGATAGAATCCCAGTGGGGTGAGGATTCCTTGTCCGGCATTCCCATTCGCTGGCCAGTGGAGGTGACGACGGCAATGCGGGGCCTGTTCCAGTCTTTGTCCTTGACTCCTGCACTTGTCTCCATCGAGATGGCCGTGCAATGCCAGGCACAGGAGATGTCACTTGATCAAGTGAGGCCAATGGCTGCGCGGGTGGCTCTGGGCATATACTACCTAGTGCTGCCTTTGCTGGCCATGCTCGGCACTGTGATACTGTCCTGGCTGGTGACCTACTTGCTGGTGCCTTTGGCGCACAAACTCGGCTATTCTTTCAATGAAGCAGGGAGGCGACGCCAGGCTCGCGCCAAGGCATTGCAGCAGCTTCGTGAGGCTGCCCACGCGGTCCTTCGGCAGGCGAAGCTCCCTGAAGATATCTGGGTGGATGTGGAGCAGTCTCGCGCCCTGGAGCTGCCCCGAGCGCAGCTGCAAGCAGCCTCCAAGCAGGCAGACGCTTGGCTACGTGAGGTCCTGCTGGCCTCGCCGTCGCTGCTGCGGAAAGCTTGCCTGGCCCGTGCCAGGGTGCTGTGCGAAGAGAGCTTTGGTACTTGTACGCGGGAGGAGCCTGCTTTGGTTCTTGACGCATTTGGCGGCCCTCAACTTTTGGAGCTCGCCAGCGAAGCTGAAGACCTCGCGAGCTTCCTGGACCAGGTCCTCGAAGGTTGGCACAGTCATGGGCATGATGGGCATTATGGGCACTCTCAGCTCGAGTCCGTTGCTGCTGAAAGTGAGGCGGAGCCTTCAGACCCCAAGGTGGACGAGGCAGGTGTGGAAGATCTCGAAGTACGCGAAGTACCCGAAGCACCCGAAGCACCCGTCTCCGAGCTCAAGAGCCTTGGATAGCAGGTAGCACAGTTCTTGCTTCACAACGCACTTGGGAAGTTTGGGCTTCAACTAACGAACGGAATCGAACGAACTCCCGGCGTGTGCTGTGACTCGGAAGGACAGACTTCGACTTGGACATTGAAGTGGACGAGGCCAGAAGCGGCATGAGGATCTTGCTTTCATGGCCAGCACACTTGCTCGTGTCAAGATCAGTCTTCGTGCAGGGTTGCAGTTGCGAAGCGGGGAAACTGTTAAAGAGCGCTGTCCAAAACTGGCAGATTGCGCAGTGTGCTTGCAAGAAGGTTGAACCCATCAAGCTGTGGACGTCCTCACGTTAGCACATGTTAGCGCTGCAGTTTAGATGTGAGATTGTCAGTTACTCTATCCTGAAACGGAAGAACGCAGGTCTTGGACTCGCTGGACCTGGGGCTGTTTACCCCGAAGCCTGGCTTCCGTCAGCTGATCGATCAGAGCCTTCCCATCATTTGGGTCGTGCTCGTGTCCCTGTGGCCAGGGCTTTTGTCCAGCTTCCTGCAAATGATTTGGTGTGTGGCAATTCCGGAGGACGATCGGCTTGTGAGCCGCCTACTTCCGCATCCCGACGTTGAGTGCTGGACAGACGCCCACCGCCCGTCTGCCAGCATTGCCTTTGCGGGCCTGGCAGTGTGGTGCGTGGGTATCCCCCTTGCGCTTGCCGCGAAGGTTCTCAGCCTAGCGGATCGGAGGGCGCCGGAAAACTACAGGCGGTTCGGCTACTTCTTGGAGGGATTGGAGCCCAAGTTCTGGTGGTGGGATATCCTTGTGAAGCGGGTCGACGTGGGCCTGATGATGCTGGTGACGTACACCTCGGCTGTGCGCGATCCCGAAGCTAAGTTGATGGTGCTGCCGCTGCTTTCCGGCTTCCAGGTGGGGCATTGTGCTTCATGTGGATTTATTTATTTTCGAAACCATGCCATTTGACTCCTTATGAAGCGGTCCAGACAATTTAGGCAATTTTCCCGGGTCTTTAGGACTGGCGGGTTCTGCCCACTTCGTTGCCAAGAAATCTGCCGTTGACACATGACTCAAATCCGTCCAGGCAATCTTGGCTGCCTGGGTCAAACCCTATGCGAATGATCAGGCCGAGGTGCTGGATGTGTTGGAGGAAACTTGGCTTGTTTGGACAGCATGTTAGTTGATGAACAGGGTGGTAGTAGACATCGGTGCCATGCATAGAGAGTATTGATTGCCAACTGGCACGAAAAGACTTTAAAGTCCGCATGCCTGCTGGTGGACACCGACTTTCGGCCCTAACCAAGCCCGTGCAGGTGACGTTGGCCTGCGTCCGGGTTTGCTTGTTTACTTCGATCGCGGCCTTGATCCTTCTGAACCCTCCAGAAGAGACCACCTTGGGGCAACCGGGCGGAAATTAGACTTTGCAGGTCTTTGAAATCAACACAGACAAGCCAGCATCCGGTCCTAACTCCACGGTCGCACAGGTTACAAGTAGTTGCGAACCGGACATGAAAGCCCCACACCCTGATCACAGAGCCGCCCAGCTTGGCCTACTTGCTCTTCTTCCTTGTATTGCTAGCCTGCGGCTACTTACTCGTCCACATTGTGGCCCAGCTGCTCCGCAATGCTTCGGCTTTCATCCCGGAGCCAGAGAAAATGATGCCGATGAGGTTTCTAGGCCAGGCGCAGCGTACTGTAGTGTCTGGGATTTCTTGTGACCACGGGTCTGGGATTTCTTCCATTATCCGGTTCCACTATTCCAAGGCGCTGTAATGGTCTCACCCGTGCCCTGAGGAGCGGTGACACAGTTCGTGGTTCAGCTGTTCGTGCCTTTGTTTTGCCCGGGCGAGTCCGACATGCTTCGGCTGCTTTGTTTGGCGTAAGGTTTCTGAAGACTTTGTCGCGGAGACAAATGGAGTAAATCCCTTATAATGCAGTTCTCTGGTTCAGGAATCGTTCTTATTGTTGCATTGCATTGACTTGACAGAAGACCTCTCCGCCCTAGTCTTTAGACCCTACGAATTTTGTTCAGCCCTAGAAGTCTTCCAAGCCACAGCCCCTCTTAATCCAAGGCTATCGTGGACATTCAGAGCCGATGCGATCATTGCGGTTGCACCACAATCCATAGTGCAGACGTCAGGCCACCACTTGCGCTGCTGGGACTGAGCAGTTTCAGAGGTGTCGATGCGCACTTTGTGCGGCGGCGGTCCAAGAGTACGACCCCGTAAAACAAGAACACAGGTATTGTCGTAGGTTTTGAATCGAGAAGAAAGAAGAAACGGCGCGTCTGTCGTGGATCCCGGGCACGGAAACCGAGAGGCCATTAATGAGGAAGTCGCCTCAGAAGGATCGCTGTGATTTCGTGATATTATGTGAAGTTTGCACGACGATCTCGGCGAACCATCCCACCCCACACTTGTTTTCCAGGATGCCAGTTCATGCAAATATGATCCGAAGTGCTTCTGATGCGCACTCTCATGAGACTGCCGAAGCACCCAGCATCAAAGCCGCTGACTGTGCTGGCTTTCTGATCAACGTCATCGCTATTCAGCCCTGGGTTTGGGAACTTGTAGGATCCAGGAACACTTGAACACAAAACCCAAACCCTTGAAGACCCCAAAATACCCTTTATGGAAACATCCTAGATCCTGAACCCCCCAGGCTTGAAGTCGTTGCTGAAGCGGGGACGCGCCGCTGTTTTGCGATTTGGACCTTCTTTCCAGCGTGTCGTCCTCAAGAAGGCTGTTTAGGGTTTAGGGGTTTAGGGTTTGCAGCGATAGGGTTCCTTAGCTAATTCTTGATTCGTGGAGTTTATGTTAACCGGCAACGCCTTTCATCTAATCCCCTCTTCAGAGATTCTCGTCGATTTTGTTTGCCCGGAGGCCAAGGAAGAGTTCATGGACTTGTGGTTGGAACAACTTGGGCAAGCTGACTTACCCTGGGAAGGCCTCATCATTTGTGTCCTGGCCACGGCTCACAAGACCCTCCCACGACTCGTTGCCAAAAACCGCATTGGCGCTGTGTGGATGTCGCGCATAGAAGCCCTTACATCCCTCACCGACTCTGATGCGCTGACCTGCAGCCCAGAGGACCCGACATGGCACACAACTGCAGCAGGTTTGTCCCTTCAGGTAGAAGACGCTACAAAAATAGATTTTGCGTGAGTACGAGGAAGTTGCGACTGCAAAGAAAACACTGACTCTATTGTATACGATAGGAATCGCGTACCAGAACCAAGGATAGAAGATGATAGAACTAGCAGCCCGTGTAAAGCGTCACGGGATCATGATCCGTGAGGATTTGTCTCTAGCCATACGGTGCTTGGGGCAGATGCCTTCCGATGACGCCGTGCAGCTGGTACATCGCGTAACGCATCTGACCACTTCGGTTTTGGGTTTTGGGAGGATCATCGTCATGAGGTTGGGACTGCTGTGTTTTGGTGTGCAAGCGAATGAAAAGCCAGAGCCGGGGATCATGTAAGCTAACTAAGGTCATGAAGTTGTGTGCAGATCGGCGGCATTCGGAGGACGATCTTCTAGAGATGTAGGCCCAGGACCAGACCGCACTTCTACGTTGGAACCCAGAGTCCAGCTGGAAAACGCACATCTTTCAGCAATGCGAACCATACCTGTTTTTACGAATGCCAGCGGCCTCATGATGAGGTGAGCAACTTGTATGCGGCGTCAGTTCTTTCGAGATTCAAGTTCTGGGCCAAGCCTGGTCAACTAGTTCATTCAGTAACGAGCATTGCAGAAGAATGCTTGTGGCTGGCAGCAAGTTGTTCTGGTGCCCTGTCCTTTTGACTGAAGCTTTGCTTTTGGTCAAAAAGGCACAGAGTTTGTCCTATGGGACAGCGGTTGGCAAGAAATCGCTGGATGGTTGTGCAGGCACTCCGAGTTCCAAGACTCCAAGCATGTATCAAAATCCACCGAGTGGCAAGCAAGAGAGCCCCTTGAACGGTGTTTTGCCACTGGCGTGGTGCTTGTGAACCGGTGGCATGCATTTCCTCACGCTTGCAGATCTTGCAGATGTATGGCGTGCAGCCAAATGTCTGTAGCAAGCTGTAGCTGCAGCTTGCAGAGCTGTTCTTGCTCACTCGAAGCAAGTTGCTCTTTGACTCACCTGAATGGCCAGCCATTGTACTTAGTCGCAGCTGCTGCCGGCTGCCAAACGGTTCCCTAGTCCAGGAACCTGATCGCGTTGAAGTTTCCGTGCTGACCTTTGTTTGGCCTCACCTTGTTATTGCGGGGCTTTTTTTTGCGTGCTTCATGCAAGTTCGTCGTACAGGACAGGGAGGAGCTGGCGTCCAACACGCCGGCCAGCCGGTAAAGGAAACAGCCTCTGGCAACGGTTTTCGCCAGCCACGATTCATGCGGTCTCTTCTGTGAGTTTGGGATAGTTTGGGGTTGGGGCCACCAGGGGCTGTCCGGCCGGCCGGAGCAAACGCGCTCCTTCAAGTGTCAACTGTATTGAGGAGCTCACATGAGTTACTAGCCGTCGTGGTTTTGTCTTTGCTTTCCTTTGTGCGGCTCAAGATGGCATGTGGATCATGCCTTCTGTGCTGTATTATATGGCACCTATCGGGGGGGTCACTCACCAACACTGCTAGCTAGTCTTTCACAGTATTCAGGCCCAGAGCATGCCCTCCAACCGAGATCCATTTGAAGCTCGCCGGAAGTGCACGTTTCCATGCATCCTCTGCCAAGGGGGTACGCGCTAGAGACGAGCCGGGGATGTGGGCTTGCATTTGGATAGAACGGCTCCTTTTTCCACCGCTTTTGTGATGGTTCAAATGCCAACGAGGGTGCAGCAATCTTGAATTCGTGGCTAGAGCTAGGGCTGTCCGGAGCTTCCATCACTCCACACAAGATTTCAACAAATTCAGGGCGTACTGAAAGCATTCGACAGTTCCGAAGCTGCGTCTCACAGTGTTCAATGTGTTCATCGTTAGTTTCGAGGCTTTGCCTGAGGCTGGAGAGTCTAGAACCACCGGCCCTTGGCAACGTTTTCTTTCACCCGGCCCCACAAAACACGTTGGAGGCCTTCGCCATCCTAAGGAGCTTTTAGCTTTTCGCTTACCTCACACCGACCCCTAGCAACGTTTTCGCCCGGCCCCACAAAGAAGCGTCGGAGGCCTTCTGCTCCATTCAGGGCCAGACCTAAGGAGCTTTGCACGGGCCTTGCCTCAGACCGGCCCCCTGGCAACGTTTTCGCCCGGCCCCACAGAAAAGCCGTTGGGAGCCGGGGTCCGCCACAGGGGTACCGGCATGGCATGGCTGACAGTGCGCAGGAATGGGGCTGTGGGGCCCGCCCTTGTTTGACAGCCCTCAAAGATTTGCCTACCGAAGCCTTCGTATGGAACGAGATCAGCAACAGCTGATGCCAGAACATGGTAGGGCAGTATTCAAGCCCAGAGCATGCCCTCCAGCCGAGATCCGTTTTGAAGCCCACCGGAAGTGCACGTTTCCATGCATCCTCTGCCAATCAGGCACGCAGCTAGAGACGAGTCGGGGATGTGGGTTTGCATTTGGATAGAACGGCTCCTTTTTCCGACGCTTGTTTAATGGTTCAGATACCACGTGCGTCCAAGTGCCAACGAGGGTGCAGCAATCTTGAATTCGTGGCTAGGGCTAGGGCTGTCCGGAGCTTCCATCACTCCACACAACTGACAAGCTCCTGCTTCAGTTGTTGTCGTCATCAATCTGGCTGAACTGAAATCCAGGGCAGGGGTCAAAGCGTGCTGGAAGCATACGACAGTGCCGTAGCTGCGTCTCGCACGGCATGGCCAAGATTCATCCCTCCCGGTCATGTTAGTTTCGAGGCTTTCCTGAACGAGGCTGGAGTCTGACACGACGCCCCCCCTTCTGCTCAATTCAGGTCCATACCTGAGGAGCTTTGCGCGGGCCTTGCCTCAGACCGCCCCTGGCAACATTGTACCCCCGGCCCCACACAAAAGCGTTGGAGGCCGGGGTCCGCCACGGGGGTTCACCGGCACATGGCTGACAGTGCGCAGGAATGGGGAGTGCTACGGTATGACATGAGAGTGTGATCTATGAGAGCGTGAGCATGTGTGACAGACAGGACGTGGATGGCTCAAGAGTTTAAGGCTGCTGTGCAGCAACAAGGGCGGCAGCATCGTGCCCCCGATTTCGTGTTTTCGCCCGGCCCCACACAAAAGCCGTTGGAGGCCGGGCTCCGCCACAGTGCGCAGGAATGGGGAGTGCTACGATATGAGATGAGAATATATGAGCATGAGCATGTCAAACAGACAGGACGGGGACAACTCAAGAATTTCACGCTGCTCTCCTGCATGCAAAGCTGCTCTCCAGCAAGCACTTGTGGGATTGCTTGGTTCTGTGGGGTTCGCCCCCGCTTGATAGCCTTCAAGATTTGTTTACCGAAGCCTACATATGGAACGAGATCGCCAGTGAACAAAAAGCATGATGCCAGAACATGCCAGTGATCAGACAGCCCGTGGCACGTTTTTGCGAAGCACCGTGGACATGCTGGCGCCCGCGGCTCTGCAGCTGGGGGTCCGGCGCGCGCGCGCGCGCGCATTCCGCGCTGTCTCGCAGAAGATGCCTTCTTTCAGAGGCCGGTTGGGGGGGGGGGGGGGGCTGTTGAGACCTTCTTTTCGCCTTCCGCTGGCTGTCGTGAAGGCTCTTGTAAGCTACAGTCAGGGCTGAGAACTGGCCGTGATGCTCTTTGGGAGGTTTCAGGACGCTACTTCTCAGACACGTCATGCTGTAGCCAGTGAGTCAGACATAAGTTGTGAGCTCAGCCAAAAGATGCACGGAAAGGTTCACCTCCCGATTCTGCATGTTGTGGTATGATGTGCCATACTGCACTTGAGCAGAGTTTGAGAAGACTCTCTTTGACTTAAAGCAGATGCCTAAATGCTCAGGGGAGATTTGAAACATTTTTGATTCTGCACACTCTTCGAGATGGCGGTGGGTCCCTTCGAGATGGCGGTGGGTCCTTTCTACACGGTTTCTAGTTTCTACACGAAGGCCTTTCAGTTTGCGCAAGCTGGAGGTGCATCCTGTCCCCTCCCTCGGCGCATGAGATGGCTCGTGACCTTGACGGCTGCGAATCATATCTGCGCGCCCTCCAAAAGAGGCGGTGCCGTGCACGACTTGCACGATCAGTTTCGAGACAAAGAGGGACTTGGCTTGTGGGCTTCTTGTGGCTTTGTAAGCGCTTCGTAACTTTCGGTGCCAGGTCGCGAGGCACGCTAGCTCCCGGTGGACCTCCATGTATCTCCCCTCCCGGTATAACCTGGCAGGGTAGGGGGGGGCAGCACACCGGGGAGTTTTTTTGGCGACTCCGTCGATCACTTGCAGCAGATGCCGTGCGTCTTCATTCGCATGTGAGGATGCATCTCGTCCTGCAGCACTTTGGGCTCACTGCCGGTCATTCGGGTCAGGTTTGTCGTTGCTGTCGGCTTGCATTCGTGTTGGGGTCCTATGCCGACTACGATGCCGAAGCCATCAGAAGGCCTGGGCCGGTCCTGCAGAATCTGCACACTTTTGCGCAACGGCGTGGGTTTTGCCATGTTTTTTGCCATGTTTTGCCGTGGCCTTGCCCAGGTGCTTGGGAGCAGGGTGGTGTTTTTTCGATTGATGGAAAGCCGCCTGCCGACGAGGCCTGCTACAGTACCATTGGCTGTCCGGCACCCATCTGCACCCCTGTCCTTCAGGACGGAAGTGTCGACAGTGTTTGCGGTGAAAGGGATCAGGATGTGGTGATCCCTCCTACGGACTCGGCTGGCCTGAGCCAGGCGCAACAGGTGGGACTGCGGAGCATGAGCAGCTTTGATCGTTGCTATGCAGGTCTCGAAAGATCTCCTCATTGTAAACCCTTGCGCGCGCCGCCTCAGCAGCCGGGCCGGCCCACGGACAGGAAAGGAGGAAAGAGGAAGCGGGGAGGGTTTTCGGGGGGTAACAGGGCGTGGCAGGTACCAGACCGGTAGCAGGGGCAAGAAAAACAGCCAAGTTCGCACGTTTTTGGAGCGGCCCCTCTAGGAGCCACCGACAGGCGGGACCCCCCAAAGCATCGGTTTGCAGCTCCTCCAAGCGATTGGGGGTCCCACAGGCCGGGGGGGGGGGGTCAGCCACAAAATTTCGTGTGGGGGCCAGGGTTGGGTTAGGGGGAAGGAGGCCCGATCCGGGTCTGCTTGTTCCAGACGCTTCTCGGCAGGAAGCCAAGGCGAATTCCATGCCATGCCAGGACGCGATTGCAATCGCGACGGTCCTTCAGCTCAGACAGGAGAGTCGCTGTTTGTCAGATGCAGCATGCAAGATACACAAGCAGATGCAAGCAGTGACATTGACATTGACATTGACACCGCTCCGTTGCACCTGCGCACGTGATTTTGCACGTACCTTCATTTTATTCCTTCCGCACCAGGAACAGGTCCCCGTGGAAACCGAAATGGCCGCGACTCCGGAAAGCCCGGATCCTGGCTTCACCGCGCAGGCTGAAGCTCACGAAGCTCAAGGAGCTCAATCCCGCGATGAAGACGATGATTCCCGTGAGTCAGTGAGTCAAAAGCGAACCACCTTTGCCAGCTTGGGCCGGGCATCGTCTTTTGTGTCTGCTGTGTCGAACGTGGATTCCCGCTTCACGCTGTACCAGACCTTGAGGAGCCAGGGCCAGCATGAGGAGGCCGAGCGGGTGAAGTCCATGAAGCTGCAGCACATTGACCAGGAGCTCTTGGACTTGCTCGTCAAATGGGACGAGACGGGCGACGGTCGCTTTGAGATGTCTGAGGTCATTAAGATTGCCAGCTACTACAAGGACAAGCACACGCAAGTGAGGGTTCTCCAGAAGCGCATCCTTGCGCTCATCTTCAGCTTGCTGTTGATCTTCCTGGGTGGTGTGGGTGGCATCTTCGCCGTGGGCTTCGAGTATTTTTTCCCAATCAGAGCCAGTGAAGATGACCCCGTATTGCGCCAGAGGGACACGGGCCTCCCAATCAGGACTGCGAGCTCGGACTTCGAACTGGTGGATGGCATGCTCCTGTCACGTCAGAGCGACGCGGATCACAGTGACAACGGCCCGTCGCCTTTCGACATTGTGAGGGTGGGTGTGAATGTCCAGCGCAAGAAGATCTCCAGCGGATGTGCCTTCTCGGAAGAATCCTTGCAGTCATGGACCTCCGTTGAGATCACCTGCATGGATCAGAAGGCCTTCTTTGGTGTTGGCAGCGCCAAGCTGCTGGCAAACGTCTCGTGGATCTCCACCGCTGGCTGGCTCGTCCGCCTGGAGCTGCAGAACAGTGGCACCATCATTCTGGACGGCGGCGCGGCCTACTTCGATGAGGCGCTTGTTGGCCATCTGGAGGCCTCTCGGAGCTATATGCTGTTGTACGTTGTATACTGGTTATACTGTAGCAGCGAGTCCCGTTCGGAGGTCCTTGGAGGTTGAGGTTGGGGCACGGAGAGGGGCGGGTTTGGGGTTACACTCTAGTCACTAGACGGGGGACCCTGCTATTGGAAAGCGGCTTAACATGCCGAAGGCGTTGGACGACCGGGGCCTGGCTCCGACCCAGATATCTTTGAATGATCCGCGCTGGACGATCGTCGGCCTCTACACCCTGACGACGCCTACGTGCCAGGACGTCCCTGGGCCCCAGGACGCCGACGCCACGAATTCTTCGCCTTTCTCCCCGACCTCCGTTTCTCCAAACTCGTCCATCTTGGAGGTGCCAAGGCCCACTTTGTCGTTGATGACCCGATCCCGCTTGGAAGGCCGATCCATGCACAACGTCGCCTTCTGGGTTCGGGGTCACATGCTTCTTTCCTCTTCTGTGGATGCACGCGGCCAGTCCGTCACGCTGCTGAACTACGACAGGCAGGAGACCATCATGTACGAGATCCACGATGGTGCCGCGCGGCACTGCACCGTTTCGAAGTTGACGGACGTGTGGCCCAAAAGGTTGCACAGCTACGTGGTCACACCCGGCTTCCTCCTTGCGATGCTGAACTACTCGCACGACATCTCGCACGACTCACAGGACTCACAGGACTCACATGACTCACATCATTCGGGATCGCTTGGCTTGGATGTGGAGACAGGCATGCCGAAGGTCTTGTACACAGCTGACGGGGAGAGGAGATACAGTCCGCCGGAGGTTCTTGACAACTGGCGCATAGAGGCTTCTGCCGAGGTGGGCGACTTGCTGGGGTTCCGGTGCTCTTCCCCGACGGAGGACCCGCGAGACTTCGGTTTAGGGGACGATGGCACTTTTCACCCAAGGCTGGGCGATGACTGGTGGGGTGCTCCTGGTGCCCTTCCCCGCCATGCGGACCACGCCCCTTGTTCCAACTCCACATGCTTTCATGCCGACCTTTCGGGACTTCTCTTGCAAGCCTGTGCCTGCAACGGAGAGACCGTTGTCGAGATTCAGGGCAAGGCCAACCTGGGCCAGATACAAGTCGACGTGGATGCGGATTTCCCAACTGCTTCCACCTTGCCTGGATTCCCTCTCGGGTTGATTGCACAGCTTCGCATCAGGACGCCGGAAGCCAGCAACGTGCCCCTGAACATGCGCGTGGTCACATCGCAAGGGGGCTTCGTGTACGGCCGCCTGGACAAGAGCGGCGCGCGTTCCAGCACTGACTTCGAGCTCAAGGGCCGAGTCTGCAGTGGCTGCAGGGTGGCTTTGGTTCAGACGAAATACAGCTGGTTCTCAGGACTCTGGGCGGCCCCGAGCATCTCCAAACAGAGCCTGGTGCTGCTGGAGGGTACTTTTGGCTCTTCCGGGTCCGCGGAAAGGCGGCTCCGTGAGGCCAAAGTCGTGAGGCCCCTGTCCAAGCCCTCCATCACATCCACCAGCGCGCCGGAGGGAGCGTGCCAAGTTCGTCAGGGCCGGATGCGGTGCGAGGAGAAGGTGCCGAAGGAGCCGAAGGCCAAGCGGGCGAAACCAGAGGACATCTACACGTTCCAGCATTTCGAGGCGCCAAGTCCTGCGCGACGTGCGCGGCGGCTTGGCCAGAATGCCAGCCTCTCGTTGCAACGGCTGCTGGACCTTGCCGAGATGGCCACCACGGACTCTGCTCCGATGGACTGCCAATCACCTTGCGGATGTCAACTGAACGCCCCGCATCAGCCAGGCTGCTCCAGCAGCTGTCATGACCTCTGCTCCTTGGTGTCTGGCATGTCCTGGGTGGCGGATGCCAGTGCCGCCACGTGCCTCAGCCAGATGCAGAAGGTCGCGCCAGTGCAGGAGGCCCTTGAGAGCTATGCGTCCGCAGGACCGGACTTTGACGTGGCGGGTTTTCGGCGCGACCTGAGCCTGGCCACTTCTCAAGCAGACCTGGTGAGCTTGGAGCTGCGGGTCTTTCTTGAGCTCCGTGCCTATGCAGTGTGGAAGCAATGGTCCCAGCGACCGGGATTCTACCCGCCCTTTCTGGATGGAGTGCCCTTGCAGGCCCCCGGCTCAGAGTGGACCAGGGCGATGTCCGGCTTGTTTGCAGACACCTTGGCCACCAAGCTGCTGCACAGCGACTTTTCCATGGACAAGGCCGGCTTTTCGCTGAGCTTCGCAGACTGCGCCATCGAGTTCCTGGTGACAAAGCCCTCCGTCCGCTTCGGCGTGGAAGCGCTTCCCCTGCTGCACCTGACCTACGCGGCAGAGCAGATGAAGGCCCGCCTATCTGCCGGCTCGGAGTGGGAAAAGTGGGAGACCGCCGTGTCCAACGGCCAGCTTTTCCTGAACCTGGACGTCGGCGCAGTTCCCCTGCACCGGGTGGACAATCACAACCTCCGCTTCGAGCCGGCGTCCGACGTCCAGCTGGCGCAGATCTACCCCATCCCTTGGCTGGAGGACCTGACGTCCGTGAAGCTGGAGTGGCTCTTGCTCACCGAGGATGTGCAGCTCCGCTTCAAGACGGGGGAGTACAAGGGGCTGGCTTCAACCGATTCCTTCGTGAAGGCTTGGTCCGGTGAGCTGGCGCTGCAGCTCAAGCAGCATAAGCAGCTCGAGAAGTCCGTGAAGGTGGTGTGGCAGGCCCTGGACGTCTCCTTCGCTTTCAGCGACGATGACCCTCTGATTCCTCTGAGAGTTGTTCCTCGCTCCGTCAGTCCAGACTCGCCGATGCACGTGGTGATCGACCGCGAGGACCCTTCCATCTTCATGGTCTCCGTCTTGGAGCACGCGCGTGACCAGCACCCCATGCTCAACCAGCTCAACGCCTTGGTCGCGGAAAGCTTGACGGTGAACTTCAACGTGGCCGACCTTTCCATCAGCGACTTGGAGCTCAAGGGCGTCCATGCCGACCTTGTTCAGGGCGAGATCCCGCACCTCTACGCGCCTCGGAGCCGAGAAACAAAAAGGGGATGCTGTAGAGGTTCGGGCGTGAGATGTTGAGGAGATTTTTGGGGGCTGAGGTTTGGGTGATCTTTGGGTGATGTTGGGTGAGGTTCAGGGGTTGATCCCAGGGAGAGGGGGCGGGTGTTGACTGACCACCTTGGATCCTCCCCCCTCACCGCCCCCTTTTTCCCAGGTCGAGAGGCTGGTCCTTGCCTGCAGCGGGACTGCCATCACTGGAGCCTTCATTCCTGAAGATTCTGTCCTGCAGTTGAAGGATGCCGGGGCAATCGACGCGGTCTTTGCGTTGGTCCCGTCCACAGCCAACACGGGGCACGTGGAGGGCGACCTTCTCCCGCCCATCCCGGAGACGGCTGCAAGGGCTTTCGGGCTCTTGGTCGACACGCTCCCGTGCTACCAGGGTGGCCGGAAGCGTGTGCTCGGAGCCTTGGCCATGGATTCAACATGATTCATCTGACACAGCGGTATCAAGAGACATCTCATAGTGTGCGTAAGAAGTCCTGTCCGCAGTGCTGTCATTGTCTGTCCCACTTCTTGTCTCGTAAAGAGCGACAGACAGAGATAGAGAGAGAAGAGAGAGAGGAGCCTCCGTGAGCGGCGCCTGGAGTTCCCTGACGTTGAAGCTGATCGTCGACTGGGCCACTGGGGTGTACTTCCCGATGCTGGGGCACCTCACGGTGAAAGCGGGCGTGAGCATCACGGTCGCCGAGTATCTGGACAAAGCAAAGGTCCATCTGGCGTACGATGCCGGCTGGGCGGCGGGTTCGGCAGTAATCTCAGATGGAACGCTGCACTTCGACGGAGTCAACGAGTCAGCTTCGTTTGGGTCGGGCCAGCTGGGCTGTCGACACAGCTGGGCAGGAAGCTTTTCAGGCATCGAGGGCCCGCAAAGTGACATGGCATTCAAGCTCGGCTACGTCGCTTTTGCAAAGAAGCTGGGCGATCACCTTGCAGATGATGATCAAGTCACCGCAGCAGTGGGCAGCATCGAGGTCTGGGTCACCTTGGCTGACTCGGCCTCCAGCTCGTCCTTTTTGCTTCGCGTGCCTCAAGGGGCCAGCTTCACAGTCCACGGCGCCACGGCCGAGCTAGATGAGGGACCCTTGGAAATCAGTGGCACCGGGAGCAAGCGTCGAGTGAGGGAGTGGCCGAAGCACGTGGAGATCCGTGGCCTCCGGCACCTTCGGCGCCGGCTCTTCGAGGAGCGCGCAGAGGAGCGGCGCCTCGAGCACGCGCGGCGTCTCTTGGAGATGCCCGCCTGCGACTTGGGCGACTCGGGCGACTCGGGCGACTCGGGCGACTCGGGCGACTCGGGCGACTCGGGCAGCTCAACTGCCATGCTTCGGCCGCAGAACCGGACCGTCGAGGCTGCCGAGGACCTCTGGCTGTTTCAAGACTCCGACTTTGCCTGCCCGCCGCTCTCGGCGCAGACGGTACCTCCTGTGAAGAAGGAGGACTGGCTCACTCTTCCGCACACCTGCGAAGGTGAGAAGGTGGAGATCACCCTGGATGGAGCTCCCATGGAGGACCTCGCGAAGCCTTTGATGAAGATGGTCTTGGAGAAGCTGGGCTGCTCGCCTGCACAGGGCTTCAAGATGGTTGCGGTTGTTGCGCCTTTCTTCAATCTGCTCTCCCTCTCTGTCACTTTCTGCATCTTTCTGCCACGTGCGTCCCTAGCCTGCCGAGGCATCGTATGCAGGCATATTCAGGCATATTGAGGCATGTTGAGGCATATTAGGCGAGGCATGGCGAGGCAGATGGAGTTTGTTGATGTGCCAGGCATCCCCACGAGCATCGCCGCCAAGATCGGCGGCTGCCTTGCCGGCGAGGAATGCAAGTTGGCTCTGGACGACCTGGCAAAGAACCCATTCCTCATCGTTCAGCACGTGTGCGAGCTTCTCGGCCTATCCCTGACGGAGGACATCCTCCAGCCTGCCGCCGCGTACTTCCTGGAGTCTGTGAAGGCTCCTGCTGGCATCCAGATCCAGTGCATGGGTTCCCTCCAAGATGACACCGTCGATGAGAGGCTTCTGGACATCACGGGCGCCATTATGCAAATCGCCGGCGGGGACGTCTCGGCTGCGTCGGTGTCTCGCTTGAGCACGGGAGTGTGTGGGTTTGACGACCCAGCTCAGGCCTTGATTGCTCCCATGCTGAGCGACACACTCTTGGAGTGGGGCCTGGCATCTCGCAATGCCCGGCTTGCCGCCAAATCCTTGACACTGTCCAGCCTTGACAAGCTCGGCAGTGAGTTCACCGTCCTCATCAAAGCCATCGCGGGCTTGGATGCTGCCAACATCCTGGACGCGCTCGAGAGGCTGGGCCAGAGCCGATTTGTGCTTGGTATAGTAACATAACATCTGAGATCTTATCGACCTTCCGCGAGGTTGACCGTCGCACTGGGCATTCCTGATTTCTACGCTGACGTTTTAGGGCCTGTGACGAAGGAGTTGCTGCTTGGCCCAGTTTGGCACTGCCTTGGGCGTATGAGGGCGTAAGGGTGTACGGATGTAAGGGCGTATGAGTGTAAGGGCGTAAGGGCGTAAGGGCGTGAGGGCGTGAGGGCGTAAGGGCGTAAGGGCGTAAGGGCGTAAGGGCGTAAGGGCGTAAGGGCGTAAGGTTGACAGAGGGCTTATAGCTTTTGGTGAATACTGGTGCTTGAGCCACTTGAGCCTTGGCATGTCAGGACGCTGCAGCTTGGCATTCCTGCCAGTACGGCAGTGACGGTGCAAGCGGCCGTCACCGAGGACACCACGCGCACCGTGGTGCCAGCTATGCAGCAGCTCTTCCTTGGAGGCCTGGATGTTGACGGCTTGCTGTCGATGGCCGGGGCCTTCGGCATCTCGGACGTGTACGTCCAGGTGCTCCAGCCCTTCTGCCGTCAAAGCTTCATTGATCTCGGGGTGTCCTGGAAGAGCAGTCAGCGCATGTGTGCAGCGGTGGACGCCTCCATCCTTGATCGGCTCTCTGAAGGATTCAGCAGTCTCATGGCCGGCGACCTGTCCGTGAATCTTCTTCAGAACATCGCTGCAGTGCTGGGGGCCGATGCATGGCTCGACATGCTCAAGCCCGTCCTCACTCAGAAGCTCAGCTTGGCTTGTGTGCCTCGAGGCGTTGTGGAGAAGCTGTTCCAAGCGGAGGCCAGCATCCTCCTCGAAGCTTTCGGCACTCTGGTGGCTTCCCCAGCAGACTTGCAAGGCTTGGAGACTGCAGTCGCGAAGCTCGCCGAGGCCGCGCACGTGGACTTCCTGGCTGAGCTGGTGCAGCCCATGGTGCGCTGCGTGCTCATGCGCAGCTACTGCGTGGACGCGGCCAGGCTCTCAGACTCTCAGACTCCCTGTCGTTTTTAGGCAGCACGCAGCATGCAGCATGCATGCTTGAAGCCCCGTGGTGAAGTGTTGTTCTTTTGTAGCAGTGGCTCACGGAACTGAGGTCGCCGCCTCTCGCATCAGTTCGGCGATCACCGTGGCCAATCTGGAGCTGGTGTTCAGCAGCACAGACGCCCTCATCCAAGGCAACATGGACGTTGGGAAGATGGGACAGCTGCTGCAGCAGCTGGGCTTGGCCAGCAGCTTGGGTGACTTCGCCGAGGTCTACCTGACCCCGCTGGCCCGCTGCGTCCTGCGGGGCTTGGGCGCCAGCAGCTCGGCCGTGAGCGCCGTGGCGCTGCGGGCTGAGCACATCCCGAAGCTCAGCGCGCCCTTGCTGGCCCTGCAACAGAGCGTCAGCCGCGGCAGCCACAGCAGCCCCGTGGGGCTCAGCAGCTCGCTTCTCTGGCAGACTTGGGAGGCCATCATGGTGGGAACTCCCTATGCGCCCGCGTCCGCCTTCAGCGATCACCTTCTGGCCCCTTTTACTGAGAGGCTTCTGCTGCAGCTCGGGGTCGAGCCGGGGCACGCCGCCCTCGTGCGGAGCAGCCTCATCAGCCTCTTTGCAAACATCAGCAGCCCGAGTGACTTCACAAATGGTCCTTGGACGACGGGTTCGGGCCCGACGGCCTTCCTGGCGGATGCGTTGGCCCTTGCCACCCGGCCCAGCTTGGGGTCCTTCCGGGCCCTTCTCTCGCAGATGAGCCTGGACGCGCATTTCGATTCCATGGCCCGTGGACTGGTGGCATCCCAGCTCGGGAAGTTCCACCTCCCCACCTTCGTCTTGGAACGTTTGGAAGACGCCTCCTTCGCGGACTTGGTCCCGGCCCTCGACGAGCTTTTCCCAGTGATCCTTCAAGGCCTCAGACCCAAGACGGATACAAGTACCTCAGAACTCCTCCAGACAGTCTCCCTGAACCTCTCCCGCCTGGAAACCAATCTAAGTCTAAGCAAGTACCTACCAGGCCTGCCTCTAGGTAAAGGTAAGGCTGATGTGTGTATGTCAGCGGCTTCTCCTGCTCTCAGGCCACGTGGACCTGCAGATTCTCGAGCGCTTCTTCGTGGGCTTCTTCAACATCTCCGGGGAGGCTTTCTTGAACAGCATCGTGCAGCCCGCGCTCCAAGGCTTCTTGGCCGACTACGAGGTGGACACCTCTTGGAACGCCAGCGCCAGCAACCCTCCAGCCACATCCGTCGCGTCCCTTCCGGCCCTCTTCGAGAGGCTGGGGTGGCTGTCACAGTACAGATATTACAGTGAGTGCCTTTGGGAGCCTTCCTTGAGGTGGCTTCAAGGGGAGCTGGATCTCGACTGGGCCCGGGCCCTCTTCGTCGCTTTGGGTGCAGAGGAGAGCCCGCCAGACGTCACTCGAAGTGGCTTCTGTGAGATCTTGCGAGGAAGGTGAACATGATTGAACATGTAACATCACGTAACGTACTGTAGCATGAATACAGAATACATAGCTAGAAGGTGCGCTGGATGTGCCCACGCTGCGAAGCCTATAAGCCCAAGCCTGTGCTGCATCTGATACACAATTGGCGGTAACGTGGCGGTAACGTGGTGATGGTGCGCTCCATTATCACACCATACAGTTCCGGCTGCCCACGCAGGAGTCCATGGCCACCACGTTGCTCGCCCAGCTCTTCAGGGGCTTCGCGCTCCAAGCCAGGACCGCCGGGGGCTCGTTGAAGCGGAGAAGCAACAGCTTCTTAGGCATCAAACGCTCTAACGAAATGCCACCGATCATGCTTATGGTTTTTCACTTCGATCCAGGATCTGCCGGCCCCTGGCCATGGAGCTCGAGGCCAGCGTCGCGCGGCTCCTGTCGGTGGAGGCCTCCGTGGACATTCTCGGCGACTTGCGCGAGCTGGACGGGCTGCTGGGAAAGCTCTTCGGCTCGGGGGCGGGCTTCGAGGCCTTTGTGGAGGCAGCCCACCTGTTCGGCCTGGACGAGAAGGTCTTCCTGACCCGATCTGTCGAGTGCCTCCTGCAGGAGCTGGGCGCCTCGGAGGCCTTCGCTGAAGCCCACGCGCAGAGTTTGGTGAAGGCTGTCACGGCAGAGAACCTGGAAACGGCCAAGGCCGTGGGATCTAGGCTGGCACGGCTGCAAGCCACACCTGCAGATCTCCGGGAAGTCCTGCTGATCTTCCTGCCGCCGGACTCCGTGGATCAGGCGGCCGCTGGCATCCTGGATGCTGCGCTGCAGACCCTCGGCCTGTCCCCCGCCGCCCGCGAGGCGCTGGCCGGCCAGGAGCTGCTGCTGGCCGAGGCCCTTCAGGGCCGCCTGGACCTGGCGCTGCTCCGCGCCGTCGTCGCAGCCCAGCAGCTGGACGTCGACCTCCCCGAGCAACACACAGAGCCCGCGGAGCCCGCGCGCCGGCTGCGCGCCCGGCCCGCCCAACATGGCAGAGGGCCATTTCCACGCCGCGGGGCCTTGGGTGCCTTCAGCAGATGGGGATCGCAGCAGGCATGGGCTGTTTACTTTTCAAGCACAAGAGCTGGTACATCTACGTGCCGTGAATATATAATGTTTCGTAATAGTAACAGTATATCGCCTATGAAAAATACCTGTCAACAAAAATGTCACTGCTGATTTCAGTTCTGGGGTTCCGAAAAAAGGCTGTTGATGGGTCTTGGCGAGGGAGGGTGGTTTTTGGGTGGGTTGAAGACGTGGGCGGAGGGAGCTCCTTTGCTCCGAAAGATTCAGCAGGTGGATGCGTCCGGCCAGTCTGCGCGGCGCCTGGCGAACGACACCATGAGCTCCGCACTGGTCAGCGCGGGAGTCCCCCCGCAACACGCGATGCGGCTAGTTCAAGTCATGACGAGTGCCATCACCTCACCGCCTTCAGTGTCTGACGTGTATCGCGACCCTCTTGGCTCACTTCAGTCGCTTTGTGCAGTCATGGGCATCTCCTTGGCGGAGGACTTAGTCAAGCCGGCTTTGGGCTATATGCTGCGCTGGTTCAAGATCTCCGAGGATGCAATCCTGCAGTGCGGATCAGCGATAACAGATCAGAACATCCGCAGGAAGCTGTCCGACGCGCAGCGAATCCTCCTTGACTTGGTCGGTGGATCCTTCTCATTAGATCTTGTGTCTCAGCTTGGTCGGATCTGTAACCTCGACTCTGCCTCAGCCCTCATCGCGCCAACCATTTCCAGCTTCATGCTGCGAGCAGGTGTGGAGCCGCACGTCAGCGAGTTGCCCAAGCAGCACTTGACGATTCCACTCCTGGGGGAGATGGCTACCGATGTTGTTGACCTGGTGAAGTCCATGGCGGGCGTCGAGGCCGGAGATGTCATGGACGCCCTCGCCCGAATCTGCAGGAACCTCGGCGTCGCGGATTTCTTTGAGGACGTCATTGCCCCAGCTTTGCACTCGTTTCTGCTTCGCCTTGGTGCCGAGCCCAGTGCTGCCATGTCCGTGAAACGAAGCGTCTCTGAAGAGACGCTCAGGTCGCTGCAGGCCTTGGCAACAGAGATGCTGCAGGGAGAAGTTTCGCTTGACATGCTCAAACGCTTCTCCTCTGCCCTGGGCTTTGAGCTCCTGCCCATGCTGAAGTCCATGCTGAGAACGCTCATGTTGCGGCTGGGAGTCTCCAGACCTGTCGCCAATGCGATGGCCCAGAACTTGGACCTGCAAACCTTCAGCGCCGGCAGGCAGACGGTGGGGGTGGGGGGGGCGGGGAACATGTGGGAGCGTGTGTGAACTCTTCAAAATCAACTTCGCAAGTCCTCCACTCCGTGCCCCAGGCAGTCTCTGGCCACCTCACTTCTAAGTGGCGAGATCACGGGCGCGCTCCTTGAGGACTTCGGACGACAGCTTCTTGATCCGGACAGCCCAGGCTTCAGCAGCTTGTTGCAGGGGGCCAGGCTTTCCCAGCAGGTCAACAGGTGATGTCAATCGCAGCAGCAAGCGCAACTTGTCACCCTGTAGGACATCTTGTAAGACATTTTTTAGGACGTGCGGCCTGACCACAGCAGGCCTCGGAAAAGCTCTGACAACCTCCCCCTTTTCCTTGCCACCGGTCATGAGCGATCCCTTCAGCAAGAGACAGTGAAAAGCCGAGGCTCGGGGTTAGCCCCCTGGACGTGGTCTACCCGAGCCTGCTCTCAAAGCTGCGGGAGTCCTGCGTGGCGGGCTCAGTGTGCACGTTGCGTCCTATGGCTCCGTGCAGGTTTCACGGAGTGCAGCGACATGATGCGAATTGATGCGACATGCAGCCTGGAGCGATGCTCTCTCAGAAGCCTAAGGTCCCCACAGAGGTGGCCAAGAAGCTGTTGCAAGCAGACTTGGGTGTGTTGGTCGACTCCCTGGGAAGCTTCCTCTCCGGCCCGCCGACCTTGGCCATGCTTGGGACTGCCCTGAGCAAGCTGGGAGGAGGTGCCCGAAACAGCCCGAAACAACCGGACCCAAACCACCCTAAACACCCTACAGGCGCCTCCGCACAATTCCGCACCCCCCCCTCAAGATGATTCTCACGAAAAGAGCAAACAAGAAGGCAGCCTCTTGCTGACGGATCTCGTGCAGCCGATGGTCCGCTGCCAACTGCTGAGGACGTTTTGCATGGACCACACCATGGCCAGCCGCATCTCACAGGCTGGGACTTGCGGGACTTGCGGGGAGGGAAGAGATTCGGCGGAAGTGAGACAACCATGAGACAGCCATGAGTGAGTCGTGCGCTCTCGCCCCGATACCCCGACAATGCCCCGATGCGTCGCCAGAGAGTCCCGCCACTTTTGGAAGGCAATCTCCAATGAGAATCTTCCGGTGTTCAAGGAGGGCGTCGAGTCGATCATGCGGGGTACCTTTGACCTCACGGTCCTCAGTGGCCTCCTTGAGCAGCTCGGGCTGGTGGAGGACACGGCGGACCTCCTGAAGACGTACCTGAGCCCGATGCTGCAGTGCGCATTGAAGGAGCTGGGGGCAAATCCGCTTGCCGTCAATACTCTTCAGGTCACTGGGCCCACAATGACCAAGTTGAAGGCTCCTCTGGCGGCCATGATCTCCGGCGATGTCTCAGCGCGGGTCCTGCTTGAGGTTTGGGAGGGTGTCGCTCAGGGGACTCCCCTTGCTGGCGAGAGCGGCTTCCTGCGGGAGATCCTGGCGCCCAGCCTCGGCCGCCTCCTGGGCTCCCTGGGCGTGCCGGCGCCGGTTGCCGCGCAAGTTTCAGGCGCCGCGGGCGCCGCGGGCGCCGCGGGCGCCGCGGGCGAAGCGACGTTGGGCAAGCTGAGCCTTGAGGCGGTGATGGCTCTCCAGGATTCCGTGCACGCCGTGGCAAAGGACCCAAGCTTCAGCTCCCTGCATAGCCTGATCCGCAACCTCGGCTTGGAAGAGGCCTTCGAGGGCTCCCTTCAGGAGTTTGTGTCCTGGCAACTGCAGCAGGTCTATGTTGAGCCGGCACGAGCAGCGAACTTGACCTCCGGGCTGACCTTGCCAGCTGCCTCTGCGATGTCGGCTGTTCTGACCTCTCTCATGAGTGGCGAGCTGGATGTTGGCCTTCTTGGAGAGATCGCGTCTGCGTTGGAGCTTCCAGGTACCCAGCTGCTTCGCGCAGTTCTCGAAGGCTTTCTGCTGCACCACGAGATGGACCTGGCGCTTGTGGAGTCGGTGAGCACGCTCGATGCAGCCTCCCTTCGGGAGGCCGTGGACAGGACCTGTTCCCTGCACCTTCTGCACACCCCATCTCCTTTTCATGTTGCCATTGTTGCCGCGCGTTGTTGTAAGTTGTGTAAGTTGTGTAGTATAGGGGGTCTTGTCATCTCCTTCCTTGGCCCTGCCCAATCCAGCACACTCATCCCTTGATTGAGCAGGTAAGAGATTAGGGCCGTCTCGCAGCTGTCTATATTGTCTATAGACACACACGCATGACGGCGTCTGAGAGGACACTCAAGCTCGAAATCGACGTGGCCTTCGCTCGCGACTTGTTCGGAGCCTCGAGCTCACGCGCAGCCGACATGATTGCGCCCTTGGTCCGCACCCTGGCCATCGACGCAAGGACCGGGATCCCAGACTGCTGAGCCCGTTGAACCTTCAGAGTCCGGTGCTTGAGGGTGGTCTCTCTTCCTTGCTAACGTTTGTCAGGATCTGCCGGCCCCTGGCCATGGAGCTCGAGGCCAGCGTCGCGCGGCTCCTGTCGGTGGAGGCCTCCGTGGACATTCTCGGCGACTTGCGCGAGCTGGACGGGCTGCTGGGAAAGCTCTTCGGCTCGGGGGCGGGCTTCGAGGCCTTTGTGGAGGCAGCCCACCTGTTCGGCCTGGACGAGAAGGTCTTCCTGACCCGATCTGTCGAGTGCCTCCTGCAGGAGCTGGGCGCCTCGGAGGCCTTCGCTGAAGCCCACGCGCAGAGTTTGGTGAAGGCTGTCACGGCAGAGAACCTGGAAATGGCCAAGGCCGTGGGATCTAGGCTGGCGCGGCTGCAAGCCACACCTGCAGATCTCCGGGAAGTCCTGCTGATCTTCCTGCCGCCGGACTCCGTGGATCAGGCGGCCGCTGGCATCCTGGATGCTGCGCTGCAGACCCTCGGCCTGTCCCCCGCCGCCCGCGAGGCGCTGGCCGGCCAGGAGCTGCTGCTGGCCGAGGCCCTTCAGGGCCGCCTCGACCTGGCGCTGCTCCGCGCCGTCGTCGCAGCCCAGCAGCTGGACGTCGACCTCCCCGAGCAACACACAGAGCCCGCGGAGCCCGCGCGCCGGCTGCAGGCCCGGCCCCAGCGCCACCGCCGGCTGAACGCGTGGCGCACTCGACAGTCCCAACGAACCCGGAACCCCTCGAACCGAGCAGTGAGGAGGCTGTCAGACACGGGCTCAGCTGACTCGGCACCGTCATGGAGCTACTTCCCGCTATGCGTTTCCCTTGACATGCGCAAGCGTCCGGAGATGCTCCAAGTCTCCTGGCCTCTTGAAGCCATGGTGGAGGTCGACGTGAAGCACCTAAGCTTGTCCGTGATCACAGGATCACCACGAGCGATGTTCGATGTTGAAGATGCCTTGTTGCCAACTTATTGCCTGAAGCAGCCTGATGCATCTACAGTAGTCTCTAGCGTGATATACCGTGAGTTGAGTGCAGTTTGCAGGACCCATCGAAGCCACCATTCCAGCCCTGGACATCGATGTGTCGATGAGGATGAGCTACGACAACGCAGGGGGTTTGCAGGCAGTAGGCAAAGCCTCTTACACGAGCGTTTCCATGCGAAGCTACTTGGGTCGCTGGGCCGATGGCATCAGCGCAGTGGAAGCAGCTCGCCTCAAGATTCGCGTGGCTGCGGCTCTTAGGCAGCTTCTAGGTTGTCAAGCTTCTTATGTCAGATTTGGGCACCCCATCGTCACATGAATCCCTTGGAGGTCCGGAGCTTCCTGGACACATCCACCGGCGAGATTGACATGAAGGCCTCCGCAGTGCTGGACCCTGCCGCGGTGCTGCAGGCACTGGAGAGTCGCCATTTTCCGCGAAAGTGAGACGCACGTGTGAGATCTGTAGTGAGCCACCAATAGCCACCAGACATCGCAGCCTTTTTGACGCAGCCTCATCCTTGGACAGGAACTACCCCGAGAGCTTCAAGGTAAGCTGGGCAGGGCGGACCCACTCGTCCTTTCCGTGAGCACCTATCGACAGGCCCCATTGCAAGCCCGTGCAGTATGTCCTTCCTTTGGCAGTGAGGTGTGTTGCGGTGTCGCATGGTGTCTATAGTTACCCGCAAAGCAGTGCCGAGGACTCCAATGCAAGTTTGGAGACCACGTTTGGCGACATTCACGCCTGCGTGAGCCTCGACACACGCTTGGGATCACTTCCTTTCTCAGCATCGGCGTATCTCATTTACAGCGGCAGCGGTGAGGGCAACGAGACTGGCCTGTCTGTGAAGGCGCGGGCCAGCCTCGGCTTGGGAGCCTTGGCCTTCATATCCTGAATCGGGCGTATTGAAACGGTCTTTCTGGGGAGGGGAAATAACAAAGGAACGGAAGCACGGTGCCCTCTCCTGCCCCCCCCCCCCCCCCAACAAGCGCCCACGAGGACATCTCCTGAAAGACCTCGATCTGGAGCCGCTGGACCTTCGCTTTGCCTGGAGCCAGGAGCGGAGAGCATACATACTCCCAAAACCCTTCTAAACTTGAGCCCATCTTCTTCGGGAATCATTCCCAGCGCTGAGCCAGGGCCAGATCTTCGCCGCCGGCCGTGCTGGGGGCACCTGGCAGCTTCCGCGCATGGGCTCCGCGGAGGCCGTCTTCAAGTGCGCGTTCACTCTATTTATTGAAATTCATTATTTATGTTTATTATTTTAATCTCTCTCTCTCGCTCTCTCTCTCTCTCTCTCTCTCTCTCTCTCTCTCTCGCTCTCTCTTTCACCCACAAACAGACCCTCAAGCGCCCAACGGCACGCGAGCTTTGCTCAACAAAAGCCCTGGGCGCAGGTCCGGCCCGCGGTTGCCTTGGAGGCCGCCTACGACGGGCGCCAGGGCGACTTCTCCGTGAAGGCTGCAGGGTGCGCCGAGGTCCTCTTGCCCCGGCTACCCGACCAAGAAGAAGCCACGCAGGTGCTGGTTGCCGCAAGCTTCGAGAAGGAAGCCGGGGGGGAGACCCGCTGGAGCGCCTTGGCCCACGTCGACGCGCGCTTCCGCGACGACTCGATCTTGCAGAAGGTCCAGGGCCAGCTGCTCGCCGACCCCTCCGGCTGGAAGCTCTCCGGGCTTATCGACATGGCGGCCAGCGCCCGAGTTTAGGTGAGAGAGAGCCGAGAGAGAGCCACTTGCAGGGCTTGCCCGCAAGGCAGCCCAGCGCAGGGTCGCATGTCTGTCCGCCTTGTATCGTGGAATATTCTGACTCCGTGACGTCCGAGAGCCTCATGGCATGGACGATCATATGACTCAGGTTCCGCTTCCCAATCTGGAGAGCACCATCGACCTCCCAGCCCTGGCAGTGACGGTGGAGATTCCCAAGATCGGCGATGCCTACGTCCTTATCAACACCACAGAGGTCGTGAACGTCGTGCCGGAGGACTGGGGCCTTCCTGAGGCGGAGCTGTTTCTGCAGCTTGGTCCGATCGTAGCTGAAGGGGCATCCCAGCCATGAGCTCCCAAAGCATCCCTTTGATATTGCTTTAGTAGGTACCACACTCGTATCACGGACACCGGTCCCAGGCACTATGACAGCCGCAAGGAGCAGCCCCTGTCCGTCTCCGCCGAGGTAGAAGGTCAGCTGGACCTTGAGAGGTTCCTGCCAGGCCAAAGCATGATCAGCTCGCTCGATGTCAGGGTTCTTGCGTCCTCTGTGCATGGCCTCTCGGTCATGGGCTCCACGACCGTCAGCGTGGCTGACATTGCCGAGCTGAACCTGACGATCTCGGGCGATCCTGCAACAGGCCCTCGACTTCTTTGCCTTGCCTGGCGGTTGGCAACTCTGGGGAAGATTTCCCTGCCTCCCTCGTGGCTTGTAACTAGAAGTGAGGAAGCAGGAAGCTTGTGTATGCACAGTATGCACATGCCAATGTCATGGCCTGTGGGCGTCTTTCGTGGCTGGTCAGGCCTCCAGCTGGCTGGCTCCATGGAGATCTCCAAGCCCTTGATCGAAGGCTTCGGGCCCTTGGAGCAGTTTGGCCTCGACGCGCTGTGGCTGGACAGGGTCTGGATGACAGGCAGCTCGAGCACGTCGAGCGGGAAGGCGGCCACGGGCAGCTTCTTGGCCGAGAGAAGAGATGCGTGCGCCGCACCCCCCCAAAAAACATCCGAAAAAGCAGGCGCTCCCAAAGCCCTCTCAGAGGCAGCTTCATCGTCGGGGTGGAGGGCCGCTTGGGTGAGGTCGCCTTCCGCGGTCTGCTGGCCACGGGGAAAGGGCTCTGCCTCATCGGCGACGTGGACTTCACCGAGGTCGGGCGGGGGGGAGGAGGGCTCAGAGAAGATCATATCGCAGAAGATCGAGAGTAGATCTTCCTAAGCGACATGGGAATTTGCACATATGATATTGGGGACCAGGGCAGAGGAACTGGTTGAAGGCAAGATCTCCAGACTCCAGGCTTCTTTGGGAGTCTGGAAGAGGTCCAAGACTACTCTCTTGAAGCCGCAAACCCCCGGTGACCGCCTGCCACGGTGACATGCGGTGACGTTTCAACTGTTTGAGAACACGTCCCAAGGCCAAGGGCCTCGAGGAGTTGCTGGGCGTGAGCGTCGGCCACTTGGCAAAAGGCTTCGGATACTGTAGCTCTTGAAAGTGAGGTTGTGGCCTCTCAAAGGTTTGTTATAAGTTATATGGAACTTGTGGAACTTGTGGAACTGGCTCTTGAAGATGAGCTCCCGAGGAGTGGAGCCCATGAGCATCCAGTACTGCCCGGCTGGGCCACAAGTCCTGCGCCACCTCACGGAACTCTCCGGAGTCCTCAGCGAGGGCGGCAGCGGCCTCTCAGTGGGGCTTGCTTCGGTCGGAACCCAGGTGGCGGGTGTGCAGGAAATCTTGGACAGGGTGCCCGACGCTCTCAGATCGGAGCTCGCCTTGCAGCTTCCCATGCAGGTGCTGAGAGGCTCTGCCCTGGATGAGGTTGCGAAGATAACAGGGATGGACCAGGCGGCGCTGCTCAAACACACACACACACACACACACACACACACACACACACACACACACACACACACACACACACACACACACACACACACACACACACACACACCCACGCACGCACGCACGCACGCACGCACACACACACACACACACACAC